TAAGGCAAAACCCCCCCAAAAAAAAAAAAAAAGGGGGTCTGCAGCAGGTGATATGTTGGTTAAGCGTGCTGGACTCCCACGCGGCCGACCACAGTTCAAGTCCTAAACCTGGTGGCTTGCTCTCTCTGCTCAAACTTAAATAAAGTTAAATAAAATTAGTTCTTATGTGCCCAAAACCCTAAGAGGAGACTGGAGAAGGGACCAGACACCATGGCCACTCCCCCTGAGGGTTTACTTCTCACTTCTCCCATTCTCTGTCCAGCAAGTACACATACCAGTAACCAGAGGAAAGAGACCACCTTGGGGACCAGCACATGGCATTACGATTATGTTGCTGGACTCCCACGTCATTGCACTCGGTTTGAGTCCCAGATCCAGCAACTTAATCTGATGGCAGGCGCGCAGGCAAGTGTGCCTAAGAACCCAAGGAGAATGGGAGAGAAGGGACTGTGGCGAGGCCATCCCCATGGAGGGTCAGTTCGTGCTTTCTGATTCTGTCTCTCTCTGGCAAGCACATCTATGCAATAGCAAAACTTTCTTTAGAATTTTTTTTTAGAATTATTAAAATGTATGTGAATTGACCAGAGGAGAGGAGAGGAGAAAGCAAGTCACCAGGTCTGGGAATCAAACCGTGGTTAGCCATGTGGGAGTCTGGTGCTCTCATCCACCACGCCACCTACCAGCCCCGCAAACAACTTCAGGTCCAGCCCTAGTGGAGACAAAGACTAGGGAACTAGAGCCATGAGAGGCTGTTTGGTCACTATGATGGGTCAACCTGAAACACACCGTGGTGGGGGGAATGTGGTGTGACCCTGAAGGATTTTCTTTAATGCAAGAAACTAAGAAAAGCACCAGCAGGTGGCATGGTGGTTAAGGACGCTGGACTCCCACATGGCTGATTGCAGTTGGAGTCCTGGTCCTGGTGGCTTGGTTTCTCACTTGCCCTCTTTCTGTCTGTCTCTCGGGTCAAACTGAAATAGAGAAAGAAAGTTAAGTAAAATAATTCTCACACACACACAAAAAAAGTAAGAAAAAAAGAGCCTTGGAACCAGCAGGTGGTATGGTGGTTAAGGATGCTGGACTCCCACATGGCTGACTGCGGTTCGAGTCCTGGACCTGACAGCTCACTTACTAACTTACACTCTCACTCTCTGGTCAAATTAAAAAACAAATGAATAAAAATAAATAAAGTTAAATAATTCTTTACCCCCCCCCAAGAAAAAAAACACAAAAAAAGCTCCAAGGAACAGTGGCAACATGCTGCTTAAGAGAAGCTCGTTCCCACACGGCGGCCACAGTTCAAATCCTCAGCTTGGTCCCCTTCCAACACGCCGGACACAGAACAAGACCGGACCAAGACCAGACCCAGTGCAGAGTCCTCTTGTCACTCTCACCCACTCCCTCTTGTGAGTACCTGTCCCAAGCAAAAAAAAAAAAAAAAACACAGGCTAGACTCCCGGGTGGCCGGGTGGGTGATGGCTCAGACCTGGCAGCTTGGCTTTTCACTTTCTTTTCCTTTCCTCCCCTGTCTCTGGTGAGCACATGGGCCTAGAGCCAGAAATTACAAATCAAATAATCCTTAGCTATAAAGGGAAAAAAAAATTAAAAACTTTCTACCCACCCATATTTTTCAAAAACAGTATTTTTAGAAGAATTATTGATTTGGGACCAGCAGTTGGCATAATGGCTATGTCGCTGGACTCCCACGTAGTTGACCGCAGTTCGAGTCCCAGACCTGGTGGCTTAAACTCACACCGGGCACGTGTGCATGTGTGCCCAAGATCCCGAGAGGAGAACGGAGGAGAAGGGATTGCAGTGTGGTCATCCCCCCGGGGGGTGATTTCTCGCTGTCTGTCTCTCTGTCTCTGTCTGTCTGGCAAGCGGACGTGCCCTATAGGAAAAGCCTCTCCAAAAAAAAAAAAAAACAAAAAAATAATTATTGCATTCCTATTGTTATTGTTATTTTAAAAATTTGACCAGAGAATAAAGGGAAAGCGAGAAAGCAAGCCACCAGGTCCAGGACTTGAACCATGGTAAGCCATGTCGAAGTTCAGTGTCTCTATCCACCACACCACCTGCCAGCCCCCCAAAAATAGTATTTTTTTTTTTTTGAGAGGGTTTTTTTTTTCACTATAGGGCGCGTGCGCTCACCAGACAGACAGAGAGAGAGAGAGAGAGAGACAGAAAGCGAGAAATCACCCCCCAGGGGGGATGGTCACGCCGCAATCCCTTCTCCTCCGTTCTCCTTTCGGGATCTTGGGCACGCACGCACACGTGCCCGGCGTGAGTTTTAAGCCACCGGGTCCGGGACATGAACCGCGGTCGACTACGTGGGAGTCCAGCGACATAGCCATTACGCTAACTGCTGGTTCCCAAAAATAGTAATTTTTTAAAACTTCATTTACTTCGTTTTAATTTGACCAGAGAGGAGCAGACTGAGAAAATGAGAAAGTCAGTCACTAGGTAAAGGACTCGAACTGTAGTCAGCTATGCGGGAGTGCCCAGTGCCCTTGACCACCATGCCACCTGCAGGTCACCCCCCAACACACACCTTTTACTACCTTAGGGCTGAAGTCTGAGACTCACCTTAGTCTCCCTGACTTCATCCCAGTCCATCTCAGGATTGGAATCCCTTTTTTACCTGCCTCAGTATTTTTTGTCACAGGGCACGAATGTTCACTGGAGAGACAGGGGACAGTGAGACATGGTTCCCCAAAGGGGGTGGCTGTGTTACGGTCCCTTCTCATCTCAGGATTCTGGGCACGCACGAGCCGGGAGTGATTTTCAAGCACTGGATATGGCTCTCAGACTGCAGTCAGGCCTGTGGGAGCCACCTGTCCCCTGCTGGCTTACAACTGGAATCTTTTTTTTAAGAGAGATTTTTGCTATAGGCACATGCATTCGCTGGAGACAGACAGAAGCCCAGAGGGGACGGACAAGCCGCAGTCCCTTCTCTTCCATTCTTCTCTAGGGGTCTTAGGTATGCATACACACATGGCCATCCTGAGTTTTTTTTTTTGGACAGGTTATTGCTATAGGGCGCATGCGCTCGCCAGAAACAGACGGAAAGCGAGAAATCCCCCCCCCACCCCGCCAAGGGGATGGCCATGCTGCAATCCCTTCTCCTGCATTCTCCTCTCGGGATCTTGGGCACGCACACACACCTGGTGTGAGTTTAAGCCACCGGGTCCAAGACTCAAACCACGGTCAACAACATGGGAGTCTAGCGACATAGCCATGACGCCAACTGCTGGTCCGCCCAGCGTGAGTCTTAAGTTGCCAGATCCAGGACTCGAACCGAGATTGCCTGCATTGGAGTCCAGGGATGTAACCACCTTGCCATCTGGTGTTCCCTGGAATCTATTAGTACAACAAAACCGAGGTCCAGGCAACCCACTGGGCATCAAGGCCCAAGCTCTCCTGAGGATGAACCGGCAGCAGACACGCCCTCTTTAGCCCCCTCCCTGGACAGACCAGCCGGGCCACGCCATTTACTGCTCCAGTCAATGAGGGGGACTTTATTGAGGCCGTGGGGCCATGGGGCTCGGGCAGGGGCTGCCCTGCGGGGAGGGGCCTTATTTGACCTTCTTCTTGGGGCGCAGGTTGTTGGTGTGGCCGCACTTCTTCTTGCGGCAGTTGACGGCACGGGGGTGCAGGCGCGCATAACACCTGCGGGGAACAGGGAGAGCCTGTGAGGGTGCGCCCCGATGCACCCACGCTCCGCCCCGGCCCCCACCCCCCGGCCCAAGCCCGCGCACTTGCGGCAGATCATCTTGTCGCAGTTGTACTTCTGGGCGAGCTGGCGCAGGGAGGGCTCGATGATGCCACCTCGCAGACGTAGCACCAGGTGGAGGGTGGACTCTGCGGGGAGGGGTGGGGGATACGGGGACACTCCATCAGGACCCAGGAGAGCCTTAGGTGGGGACGGACCCACTGTGAGCCTTTATAAAGGGAGTCTGGGGGCTGGCAGGTGGCATGGCGGTCAAGGTGTTGGACGCTCCCACATGGCCGACCATGGTTCGAGTCCCGGATCTGGCTTTTTCACTCTCTCTCTGTCCCTCTCTAGTCAAATTAAAATAAATAAAGTTAAATATTTGGGCATGCACGCACACGCGCCCGGTTTGAGTTTTAAGCCACCGGGTCCGGGACGCGAACAGCGGTTGGCTGCGTGGGAGTCCAGCGACATAGCCATTACGCTAACTGCTGGTTCCCAAAACAGACATTTTTTAAAAGTGGGAGCCTGAGATCAAAACTCTAGACACCAAGGAGTTCTAGAAGGGCCAGCCCTATAGCCTTGTGATTCTGTGACTTGGCCCTGGCAACTTCCACAGCACTGGGCTCCTCCATGTGCACGCCTGAACCCAAATGATTAGAGAAATGGACACGGAGCGTAGCAGAATCGCACCCCCATTTTGGGATGGGGTGACCTCTCCCCTTGTCTGTCTCATGGGGGTGCATGAATCCTCAGGCAAACCGGGAAAGAAAAAAAAAGAAAAAAGAAAAAAATAAAATGAAGTTGGGGGGACCAGCAGATGGTATAACAGCTACATTGCTGGATTTTTCACATATTTGATGGCGGTTCAAGTCCTCGACCCAGTCTCTTAAACTCACACTGGGCTGTCCGAATTGGACATTCTGAGAGAAGGGTTGCAGAGTGACCAATCCCAACCTCCCCGAGCGTAATTTCTTGCTTTCCGTCTTCCTGATAAGTATACAAGTCCAATAGCAAAAATTTCAATTATAATAGTAATAATTAAAAAAAAGAAGTTCATGGGAAAAGGCACGGAAGTACAAACTGGGGCCGGCTGCGGACACAGGGTTGACACAACTGGGACAGGTCATGGTCCCTGAGCACACCAGGTGGTGCATTTGCGATCCAGGGAGGCTGAGACCTGGGGTATGTCGCGGCAAGTGGGCCCTGTTAGGGATGCCCGCATGTCTCTCTCATGGAAGAACAAACATGAAAATTAAAACAAAATACTTCCCCCTCAACCCACCCACTGCTGGCAAGCCCACGTACTCTGAAACAAATTGAAAAAACAGAGGCCAGCAGGTCACGTGGTGATTAAAGGTGCTGGACTTCCACACTGCTGATCACGGCTCAAGTCCTGGCTTGCATTCTCATTCTCCCCCTCTCTCTGGTCAAATAAAAAATAATAGTGGGACCAGCAGTTGGGGTAATGGCTATGTAGCTGGACTCCCATGTAGTCGACGGCGGTTCGAGACCTGGACCTGGTGGCTTAAACTCACGCCGGGCGCGTGTGCGTGCGTGCCCAAGATCCTGAGAGGAGAATGGAGGAGAAGGGACTGCGGCGTGGCCATCCCCCTGGGGGGTGATTTCTCACTTTCTGTCTGTCTGTCTGGAGAGCGCATGCGCCCTATAGCATAAACCTCTCCAAAAAATAAAATAAATAAATAAGAGGAACTCACAGCTATCCACCCAGTCCTAATACCAACGAGGCCATCAGCTGTTCCCCCCTTGGACTGAGGGCAGAGGACCCCACCCCACGTACCTTTCTGGATGTTGTAGTCAGACAGCGTGCGGCCATCCTCCAACTGTTTGCCGGCAAATATCAGACGCTGCTGGTCGGGGGGGATGCCTGCAAGAGAGATCTCAGTCACGGAGGCTTCCTCGACCTTACTTGGAGCCTTCAATAAGTGTGCAGAAAACTCTAATCGCATCACGTGTTCGTTTGGGTGCAATAAAAAGGGAAATCCAAACAGTCTTCTGTGATCTTTGAAGACCACCCATGAGTGTTACTCCATGCAGGGGTATCACCGCTTCATCTCTCAGGAGAGAGAGATAGTGATGAAGTTTCTTTCGACAAGTCAGGCGAGGTCTGACCAGGCCCAGCACCCATCCCATACAGGGCGGAGGCTCCCAGGGAGGGTACACAGAGACCCCAGGCTCAGCTCGACTCACCCTCCTTGTCTTGGATTTTGGCCTTGACATTCTCGATGGTGTCACTGGGCTCGACCTCGAGGGTGATGGTCTTGCCCGTCAGGGTCTTCACGAAGATCTGCATCTTTGCGTCTGCTGTGGGAGAGAGGAGGGAGGAGGCAGTGGTGACGGCTGCCAGGTCGGTGTGGACACAAGGTCAACTACTGGCCAGGCCCAGCTCGACTGCTATCCTGAGCTCGACTGCGATCCAGCGTTCTAGGCCCGGCTCCTCTGAGCTTGTCTTCTCACATGCCCTGGGCTGGAGTGTGAATGCAGCTGGTCACTAGGATCCCACTCAGCCCCGGCCATTAGGCCTTCGATGGAGCAGAGGGCGATGGGACAGGTACCGCCTTACATTGCCTTTCCTGAGCTGTGATCCCGTCCTCCCCCTGCCAGTCTTCAGGATGCTCTTGTTGTGGGTCTGGACGGGACTCCCATCTCCACAGCCAGCCACTGCGCCATCACGGACTCCTCCCGCGGCCCCTTTCCATTCTCCTTTCATCCACATTCATTTATTTACTTATCTTTTAACGTTTGATGAGGGACCAGCAGTGAGCGTTAATGGCTATGTCACTGGATTCCCATAGTCGACTGAGGTTCGAGGCCCGGACCCGGTGGCTTAAACTCACACCGGGTGCGTGTGCGTGTGTGCCCAAGATCCCGAGAGGAGAACGGAGGAGAAGGGATTGCGGCGTGGCCATCCCCCTTGGGGGGTGATGTCTCGTTTTCTGTCTCGGACGAGTGCATGTGCCCTTCAACATGTGCCCTTCAACAAAAACCTCTCCAAAAATGTTTGAGAGTAAAAAAGTATACCACCAGGTTCAGGATTTGAACCATGGTGCGCCATGTGGGAGTCCAGGACCCTTAACCACCATGCCACCTGCTGACACCAACCCCTCTCGATTTTTTTAAAAACAAATTTTGGCCATGGAAGCAGGAGATGGTATAGTGGTTATATTGCTGGTGTATCAGCGTCAATCACAGATCGAATCCTGGACCTGCAGGAGATGGTATAGTGGTTATATTGCTGGTGTATCAGAGTCAATCACAGATCGAATCCTGGACCTGGCGGCTTTAACTCACACCTGGCACCTATGAGAACGTGCCCAAAACCTCGAGATTAGAACTTAGAAGGGACTGCAGTGTGGCCATCTCCCATGGGGGGGTGATTTCTTGCTTGCTGTCCCTTTATCTCTCCTGCCAGTACACAACCCGGTAGCAAAAAAATCTTTCTAAAAAAAAGTTTGTTACAGGGTGTGGGCGCTCTCAGAGAGACAAAGAGAGAAATTATCCCGCAAGAGGAATGGTAACGCTGCAATCTCTTCGCGATCATGCCTCTCCCCAGATTTTAGGCACGTAGGCACACACCCACGCGGTGTGATTTTCAATCCATCAGATCTGGGACTTAAACCCCTGAAGTGGATCATGTGGAATCCAGTGCCTTAACCACCACACTGTATGCTGGCCTCGGCCCCTGTCCCCTTCCAGGGTCAAGCCGGGCCAACCAACTCACTTGATTCACATCTCTGAAATGCCAAACTTCTAACACCACACCCTGCCTTGGGCTAACCCATCAACAATCATATGGCCACTTAAGTCTGGACTAATCACGTGCCGGGTAATTACTCCAAATACTTCATCAGAAAAAAAAAGAAAAAATCTGGAATATGAAAGCTACCTCCAAGCTTCTTTACGGAGGTGAAAAAAACATACAAGGACATTGCTCGAGTTATTTAACAATTTTTTTTTTTTTTTGGAGAGGTTTTTGCTATAGGGCGCATGCGCCCACCA